ATCACATTTCAATGATAAACACCATAATATCGGAACGATGATAAATTGAATGTATGACACCAATTTGTGGCTTGACAGTTAATCAAATTTTTACCGAGTGAAAAAAAAATACAATTTCTCTTTCCGTCTTTCTCTTTCGCTCGCTATCAAATGCAGCTAAATGGGAACCTCATTAAATTAAATTTATAAATCTGTTATTAACCATAAACATTCGAAATAGCGTTTATTTATCTCATCATTGTCTGTTTGTAGTACGAAGTTCAACATTTAAATAAAAGAAAGTATCGTAAATGTCCTATAATAAATGCGTATTTGAAATGGGTTAATATATTTTTGGGACATAAAAAAACGAATCGAGGGGAACCAAAGTCAAGACGTGAGAAATTATTGTCATTTCAACTCGTGCATGCCAAATATACATAAAACGTCTGTTGATATCATTGAGAAAATCATTCAACACAGCGAACGGAACACATTAATAGTAATATTTCAAGAGCACACATAAACCAAGAAACAAAACACACATGAAATTGACACAAAATGTAAGCAAAAAATGACGGCAATGACGCACATTTCAGAACACTTAATTTAATGAACAAAATCAAGCTATTAGAATGGCATTTTGATGCGTTTCCTTTTTTTTTGTTGATCTGTTAAGAATAGCTATCGTTTGAATAAAACAGAACGTGTTTTATGGCAAAATGTTGAATGCTCATCGATAAGCAGAAGCAAAACATATTCTTCAATTCCAAGCGTGGAAAACTAAATTGGCTAAACTAAAACGGCAGCGATAATGATCATATTTAAATGGGGGTTTAGTCCGTTAAAATGAATGGATGAAGCCGGTTTTGAATGGATCAACAATAACGTCAGCCTTCAATGTTGTTGAATAAAAATTATTGAAATATTTGCCAAGCAGAGTCAAAATATAAATAATGCATTCAAATGACTAAATGCACAGTGTGCAAAACCAGTGAATACACATACATATAGACGCTTCGGCACTGGCAGTGTTGATGCATCGCTCATGGAACTTGTTAAAATATTATCACGATGAAACGGTATCGTGAACATGATTACAGATTGATTTCGTCTTCAATCGTTTTTTTTTTTGCGTCGAAAATTTCTTTCTTTATTTATATTTTTTTGTTTGTGTAAAATGGAGTAAAAGATAACAATTTACCGCTTAAGAATTCTTCCCTTTCTCGTCGCAGTAGTTTTGGTTTAATTAACTTTGATAACTATTCAGGAATACAGGAACTCCACGGCGAACAGCTTCAAAACATTTATAATTTAATGAAATTTATTCAATGTTAGCATTTAATATTCATCACTTTCTTGTTCAATAATTATCGGCATAATTTGCGTCTAGGATCGTTTTTAATTGCCGCAACAGGTAATTTCTCAATCAATCATTTACATTTAAGTTTTTTTAATAAATGTATTATATTTTGTTGGCGCAAAATAGTTTAATTAAAATATAATCAGATTGCAAATTGCTATCCTATTGTTCAGTTTTGAATGAGTTTTGAAATGAATTTTCAGCGCGCACAGTAAATCCGTTTACTTATTGTTTCTCGTTTCTCTTTCAATGTGCAATAGTTCCGTTCAATGGTTTCTTTTTGGATTTCACTCGATGCAAGTTCGTTTCTTTCTTTTAATCACACTGTCGTAAATATAAATTCAATTTCATTCCCAATTTATTCGAAATGTACTAGTATATGCCGTGTATATAACGAGATTTCTGTGTTTCATCCAAACAGCATATTAATACTTTCTTCATTAAACTTGACTAAATTTAGAACTACACATTTCACTCTCTCTCAACTATATGTACGCGCAGATATTGTATATCGTAAAATATCACATTTAAATGTTACTGAGCTTTTTTATAATTTGATTTTTGAATGTTGTGCGAGTTTTTGCTGTGTAGCTGCTGCTGTCGAGCAAAACTTTTAAACCGATCGACGATAAAAATTCAACTGAATGTTCAACCGAACGTATTGAGAATGGTGACCGCAAAAAAGTTGACGCAAGCGAAACGATAGAGAAAGAGAGTGAAAGATACCCGCCGAATCAAAACGTTCGTATATGCATAGACTCTGTCTCACGTGTATGAGACGCACAAGTAAAAATAATAATGATATCGCATAATAATGGCACGCATAGGAGAGCTCATGTCTTATTTTGTCATTGTCATTTTGGCACAAACGCAATGTTAAAGCCGCTATTCGAATTTTGAAGAGAGTTCAATGTGCGCCGCATATTGATTTTGTGTGTCGTATTGCGGCTTGTGCGTTTCGCATAAAAAATCACTTTGTCACAAAATCGAATGTGAAGATAAAAATGTTTAAATCTTGAGATAGATTATTGGGAGGCTGCGTGCAAACGCACACGTTCTAAACATCTTTTTGTTGATGAATAAATTTAACAAATTAACATAAAAAGCTACGCAAAATCAAAATAAAACGAGTCTCTCGCGTGCATAACGTCAAAAATCAACAAACAAACGCGTAAATCGTGAAACAGCCGCACAGCAAATTTTTGTTTACTAGTGCGAGGAAGAAAAGAGGATGTAGATATTTTAACATCTAAAATTGTTGTTTACAACAAGTTCCTTTCCGATGACAGTTTAATTGTAACCTTGAATTTATGTTTGATTTTGTAATTCAATATTAATCAGATTCGAGTACATTCGTTGCCTAACAACAAAATCTATTTTTGATTTTCAAATCAATGGAAGAATATAGTGCAAGTATTTATTTTTTGTTTTGTTATTTTTTTTCTTTGTTATCGATATTCATTTGGGATTTTTCCCATAAAAATTCAATCTGTATAAACTTTGGTCTGAATTTGGCAGCCGCGCGTGCATCAAGCCTGCAGGGAATAACTTATTCTACGTTGTCAAAACACGTACACACAGACAAACAATTTGAAAAGGTGAACAAGTTAGTTTATCGCGATTAGAATATGTATGAGTTTTAGAGAAATAAATCGACATAGACATTTGAATTGGTGCATAGAATTGAAAGAAAAAAATCAACATCGGTTGTGCTTATCTTAAATTCAATGAGTACAGTATTCCCGTGTGTCATTGCAATTTATCACTGCATGAAGTTGTTGAAATATGTCTCTGTTTTCATACAGATACATTTAAATGAGTTTTATTCACAGTCTGGAGATATTTCGATTTGAACTTGAAGTGAATAACACCACACAGACAGTCTGGCTTGCATTATTTGTTTCTTTCGCCTATAAAAAACTTAAAAATCATTTCTATCTCATTCAACGTCCTCAATATCCGAGCATGGTAGCATCGATTTGGCATTTTTCCAAAAATAACTAGTTTTTTTTTCGTTTCGATTTAATACGAGAACGAATCTAGCCAAGCTTGTACACATCGAGCGGAAAATAATCGTTTCGTTGTTTATTTTCTCTATTCACTGACTATGGCAACAGTCAACAACAAATATGATGCCGAAAAAGTTGTTGAAGAAAGGAAGATATTTTGGCGACAAGAGAGGGGAATGCTGTAGCTTACGTTATGGTGTTATTGATTTAGTTATAAAATTCGATAGAAGAGCAATCAATTATCAGTACAAATTTCCAAATATTAACTGACTTACTAATAATTGAATTCAATTAAAATAAAAAAATACCCAGCATGACAATTCTAACGATACTAGGAATAACGGTAATATATAATAAATGTGAGGAATTACCTAGAATTTGTTTAGTTCAAATTGTATTTAGCGAAATTCGGGGAATGCCTGAAATGTGTTCAATTGAAATGTCTTTGATGCGACACAGACAATCACGAAAAGTGCCAGTTAAAAGTGTGCATGTGATTTCATCGTGATACAAAATAACAATTGCATAGAATATGTTTTTTGCCAATCATATTGATTCAAATTAAACCGAAACGTGTGAGTCCTTTTAAACGAATATCAACCGCATGAATCGGTCACGATACATTTTTCGCCGAAACAAACGCAAACTATTTTCAATTCATTGGCCGCATCAATTACGATCGATTTCACAGTACTCGGTTGAGTTGATTGAGTGAACGTTTATTTAATTTGGGCAAAACCGCGTACCGTTTTGTCAATATTTGGGTGCTGGCTAACAATCGTTTTGTGGTGCACATCAAATGTATTCGAATTGTACGTTTATCGATAAAAACAAATGCGACAAAGTTTCATGTTATTTTCTTCTCTTAATTTATTAGATCAAAATTCTAGCCAATTGACATCACGTACGTGCATGTGCGGTTAATTTAGTTTTGATTCTATTGCAAACACCATATTCTATATCATTTTCTCTTAGAATTAAAACCCAAAACCAATGTAAATAAATATAGATCTGAGTGGACAATTTGCTTTGGCATTAGAATTATTACAGTAGCAACACTCTGGGGGTGGACAACTACTTATGAAAGCATAACATGCGACAAAAACGTGTAAAAATCATTCTGTCGGTGAAAATGCACGAAGGAAATCGTAAAATAGAAAATTTCATTACGAATCGTAACAGAGCGAAAAACAACTGCTCGAGCTATGTTATATACGAAGTGCACGCTCATTGTGAGTGCTATCACGTTTAGACCGATTGGCACCTGCATGACAAATAATGTAGGCCATTTATTCGCATAAAGGATAGAATTGTTTTTTTTTTCTCTCTCGCAATTTATCCTTCAGTTTATTTGTAAATACATTTGAATCAATGGTATGCTTTGTTGATATTTGATTAATTCTTATTTTTTATGGTAAAGTTTATGCAATGACGAAATGGGTTCGGAAAAGAATAGATTCGAAAATCAATTATTATGAGCTGCACGTTTTGACAATTTTGGTTGAATAAAATACGACTTTTATCTTTAATGTTAATTTGACCTTTCTTTGTTCGACAAACCTGGATGACATAAGGGAAATATGCTAAAAGCCTTTTGCTTTCGATTTTCGATTATTTTTTTTCGGGTGAATTTATTTTGATAATCTTACCTGTTCTAAGCATGGGCTTTCGAATAGAAATACATGCAACAATGGATCACGAGGATTTTTCAATAAATAAACAATGCCATGAACGCCGGCCTTGGTGTTCACTTCGTCGATTATTGTCGATTGCGGTCTTCGATTTGGGAATGTTATGAATTCGGTCAGCTTACTTTTGCAATTCAATGCATTTTGAGCGGTTGCTATCTTACAAATGCCCACAATATATTTTAATTGATGCGTAAACTGGAGCTCAAAATCTTCATTATACGTTTCAAGCACACCATGTTCTATGCCAATCGACAGCTACACGAAAAACAAACAAAAGAAATTACTATAAATATATTTATTTGGAATATGGGACTATATTTCTTTAATAAATTAAGATTAATCGATATCCAGTCGAGTTTGGTGGTTCATTTAATTGCTTTGTTTTTCGGTTTACTGGATACAACCCTCACAAAAAAGTGTTCAAGGTTAGTATTTTAATTATACAACAAGCCCATGACGTATTGCCAAACCCAATTTTTACTCACATTTGAATATTGTTCACGACTATAGATATCCGTAAGAGTCCATGGCAACATTGCAGCCGAAAATCGTGGATCAACCGACGCACATCCGCGCCACACCATAGAAATCAACTTTGTCTTCATGTCGAGTGAAAAAATAAATTCGTTTGATTTTCCACTTTTTTTTCAATCTTCAGCACAAAACTTTTAAAAATTCATATCAAAACTTTTGATAGTTTTAAAAACTCGCAAAGAGTCAGTGGTGATAAAGATATGCCTGAGAAAAGCGATAAACTTTTCAGTGTTTTTTATTTCTTTCAATGAACAAATGACATAAGCTCTTTTACTAAGAACGTGCCAATTTTTTTTTCTTCAAGCGCCAGCGAATCAAAGAATGTACAAATGTAAACCAAATGTAGCATACAAATACTCTGTATCGTATTCACGGAAGAAAAGAAAAATACACTAAAGTGTATTCACTCCAATTTCAAAGAGCACCAATGTTTCGAGTGTGTGTTTTCTGTTGTGTTGTTTCTTTCGGTTCTATCGTTTCAATGGCTTTTTTTCTATACATGCATTGCGCCACTCGAAGTTTCAATTATCATTGATTTTTTCCTTCATTTTTTTCTTCACTTGGTTCTTTTCGATATTCTTTCTAGTGCACCACTTAAATCACTTTAGTTCGCTTCTTCAATTTTTCACCTTTTTTTTCTTTCGACCAAGTTTCTTGGCTTATGTATATAAACTTGGACGGATTTTTTACAATTTGAACATTTCAAACACATTTAACAGTATTTTCTCTGGAATACTGTATTTAAAAATAAAACTATTTCTCTATTTATCGCAGCTGCGGCAGCATATGCAAATAGTTGAATGATAAATATTATGATCAAATAACACAGAAGAACAACGTAAAAACAAACACTCGGTGCTTATCACAAACGATCCCGTTACGATTTCCAATCGTAAATGTGCGAAAGGACATATAGTTTATGTGTGATGGATTGTTGATTTTGTCGATGGCAATATACAAATAAATGCCATACCAAATAGTTTTTAATATACATCAATTGATGTATTTGTATGGATAAAAAGCGGTTGACGAATCGCATGCGTCAGTTGTAAACGTCACTTTTGAAATTATTATTCCCTGATTGTATATAAGTGCATCTCATTTTATCACATATATCCATTTCTTTTCCGTTGTAATGTACAGGGTTTTTCTCTCCACAGATGGCGCTGGTGTTACGCATAGTTTTGTTCAAAGTTTCTTTTCCTATAAGCAAAAATTTAAAAGATACACAACAACAAAAAACACGAAATTGGTTTATAATTTGCTCTTATTTAATGTAAACATTAACTTAATACAAAATACAAATGGTTTTCCTTTTTATTTAATATAACTATTTACTTATTATTAATACGAGAAAAATACATGTTTTTAATCAAAAATGACTGGGTGATTTAACAATGAGACGATATACAATTTAAATTTACGTATTTTTTTGTTACTCATTCAATTAAAACGGAACAAGTTCAATCGAACTATAAGTAAAAATACCGACACAATCACGAGCGATTAAATAAAAAAAATACAAAACTTGTTTGTAATCGATACAAAATTTTAAATCATACTTTGGTCGACTGTGGGCCTTTTGATTTTGTTCGATGAAAAGCCGGAATAAATGTTATTTCCGTAATTTCATAAAAGAACTGGAATCTTTTGTTTACATGAAAAAGCTATTTTCGATTGGATTATTTGTTCTGATAGATTTTGTTTTTCTCGCGATCTCATGTTGATCATACATTTCGAGCAACCGATTTAATTTGCAACATCTGCTTTTCACTCGTAAATTGAAAACGACTGAAAACGTCAAGTGGATTTGCCAGCTTGAATTATTTATATATGAATTGGAAACATTTCGGATCCTTTTCTCTCTTTGTGTGGGTAGATTCTCAGCATGACTTTCACGCATTCGATGCCTTTTGTATATCTCTTTGTATGGGAACGTAATAAGTAGACGAGAATCATTATTGATGTTATTTCTGATGTTTTTTTTTTGGTACGACGAAGGAATGAAAAATTAACATATGCGATGATTGTTCGTAGTTGTTCGTAAAATGTTGGTTTTTTGCACTTTAAATCCATATGTTGTTGCTTTTGTAAAAAAAATTAACACAAAATGTATGTATGTGTGTGCGTGTATATAGTCGATGGAATTTTGGAATTTTGAGCATATGATGCTATTAGATATTTGTCACATCGAATAACTCTAGAGTATAATGCATCGACGTTGTTTAACATTTGGCTTTTTCACTACGGCACGTATGGCTTCATGGAATACATCCTCAAGGTTTAGTTTCTTTTTCGCCGAACATTCGACCAGCGCAAATGCTTTGATTTTATGCTTCAATTTCTTTCCTTCGGCGAATGTCACGAACTTTTCGGAATTTGGAATGCGAAGATCACTTTTTGTACCTGCAATTTTTTTCGATTCATTAAGAATTAATGTGAATTTATAAGAATACCAAAAGAAAAACATAATGGATTGTCATGCTTGGAGTGTGAGTGTGTAATGTAAAGACTCACCAACAAGGATTATTGGCACGCTTGGCGAAAAATGTCGAATTTCCGGGCACCATTTGGACAGCACATTGTCAAAAGATGTTCGACTTGATATCGAGTAGCATAGCAGGAAGCAGTCAGTCTACAAAGTAATAATTAAGCAAATTCATTAGAAAATTGTGGTATTGTTGATGTTTTGCGCAGCCATTAGTGACTGTGATATTGAATTTAAAATAATTTTAATCTCATTGATCGACTTACATTTGGATAGCTGAGCGGTCGTAATCGCTCATAGTCCTCTTGGCCTTGACCAGTCAAAAATAAAATAGGATATTGAAAATATCGAATAGATAAGGCACGTCTTTCGGTTTTTGTATTCATTTCAATTGAAATATTGTATAAATTTTTCGAATTGTTTATTAGACATTAATTATAGTTTTTTTCCCTTAATTTTTTCTACTTTTTCATTAAAATTAAATCACAGCGAAAAAGAAAATAAGAAGAGAAGGTTGGTTGAATTTGAAATTTGAAAACAATTAAGAAGATTTAATTAAAGCGAAAAAAATCGGTTTAATGTATTTTTCTTGCTGTAAAATTAAACATTTATAGCAAAATGAATAGTAAATGGAAATCTCTATACAAACCGGCAGTGTCCCAGAGTGTGAGCGCAAATTCTTTGCCGTCGACTGTTAAATTGCACGCATGATTGTCAAATACTGTCGGGACATAATCTCGTGGAAATTCATTTTGGGTGTACGTAATGAGCATACACGTTTTTCCTACCATGCCATCACCGACTGTTGTTATTTTTAGTGGGCGCAAATTCGAAGTCATTGTGTGGTAATTTTGTTTTACAGCCAGCAACTCAGTTTGACGGTTTTCGATTTACTTCTCGTCTGCGTTCAGTATGTGCGTCTGTGTGAATTCTTCAAATTGTTATGTATTTTCAGCGAACAAAAAGCCTGCAATGAATGAAATATGCAACAACTATAAATAAATATGTAAAACACTTCCCGTCTCTTTAGACTATAAACGCCGCATCTTTTCTAAAGTGAGAAATTTGTTTCTTTTAAAGTGCTTTAATTGAGGTCATCGTTTTGCCGCTCCGCATATACACAAAAGTAAATACAACAAGTATATTTGTCTCAATTAACCGTCAAATTGACGATAATTTTTATGAGAGTGCGAGAAATGAAACAATAAAGAAGTGAATGTGTCTTCTTTATTAATCATTTGCTCGCGTTTTCTATTCGTTTGAAGAAAAGTGAAAATATTTTTAATAATGTTATAAATTAATTTTAGCAAAAAACGGTGTGTAAGACCGGATCAAAGTCGTAAAATGGCACTTAAATTGTTGTTCAGTAAATCGGAAAGGTTTTTTGAAATCGCGTGTAACTTTAAAATGCGTGAGATGAAATGTGCAAATAAATCATTGTCACCGTTTTATGTGGTGTTCCCCCCACAAAAGACTGTTTGCATTTTCATATCAAGTAGATACAATGATTTGATAAATATTTTGTTGATTCAAGTCCAATTAAATAATACGATGAAAATTCCAAGAAACATGTTTAAAATTATAAATTCCGCTTGAAAAAAGATGCCAAAATAGGATTTAATAAGCTGGACGGCCAAATCAAATCAAATGATTTATTTGATTTGATTTAAATGCATCATCTCAAATCATGATTTTTAGAATGATTTGTAGATTTATCAAATATGATGAGGGAACGGCGGGGAGAAAAATGGGAAAAAGTCTCACTTGTGGAGGAGTATCCTCCTTTACGCTTTCTTTCTCAAAAATGCGATAAGATCGGTTTATCGTTGATTTTATCGATTTTCTTTTCATCAATATTCTTCTTGACTGTGTTGGCGATCGTTATAAGAGTCGACAAAGATAAACGATCTTTTAAACACTAGCCCCATATCTCGCAAATTGAAACCGATTATAATTAGCATGGGTTGGCACAATTTCACGTACGTGTATTTTCCGAGCGTTCATTAGTGTATTTTCGCAAAACCAGCATTGTAATAAAAGGGCAAAAAAATGTTTAGTTACGTGAAACACATGCCAATTCTTCCTTAAACATATTCATATCTCTAAATAAATAACCATTCAGGCCAATAACATTTTATACTTCTGTTTATGTTAAAATATTTGATTGCAATTTAACAACAACAAAACTAGTATTAACTTCACTGCTTTTCAAGCGGATAGTTTGTTTTGCAAATGCCACAGCAGACATAAGTCAATTTTATTTATTCAATATTTCTATATACACTGTCGATTGCAATGAAAATGGTTAAAATAAACAAAACTGTTTTCAATCGAATGAAAAAGACATTATTGTTGTCCGATAAAATATGAATTCCTTCGCACGAAACACGTACTTTACGCATCTGAAAATGACGCCCACGTTATAATTGTTTACGGTTAACAAAAGCAACAATAATAAAATGACTTATCGACCTTTCTTCTTGTGCAATAAAGCACAATCGAAGTGACCGTTCTTCGGAACACTGAATTTCATTATTCCCCTCCGATTGTTTGTTTGATATATTTTGTATAAATTTTTATGTGTGCTCGTAAGTTCTTTCACATTTTGATTGACATTGTGGTGCAAGCACTATTGGAATGCATCCGTTTAGAAGTTTGAAAAAAAAGGTTCTCCGTAGAGCGTGCACAGCGTTATCACATACACTTCCTCTTATACATTTTAGCGTATATCTTTTTTTTCTTCTTCGATATTATTTTCCGATCGAAACGTGCGTTGTATCGCTATGCCTTATTCATTCAGACAATAGCTTCCATATATTCAAAAATGGAAATGAATGAAAGAAAAAGGAAAAAAAACGTAACGAATATGAACATGTTCAAAACGAGCATTGATCGTACAATACGACATATTTTTTTTTGGCTTGTATGCACAATCAGTAATCAAATCATTTATAATAATGTTCAGTTTCTCTTTCTTTTGTATATCTGTGTGATGTGTCGGTTTTTTTATCGCGCGTCAGTTGATTTGTTATACAAGAAACGTAGACGAAAAGAAGATTGAATATAGCAATGCCGGCAATAGCACGAAAAAGGAAAACACAAAAACTGCATACGCACAGAATTTCAATATTTTTCTTTTATTATTATGTCTCTAAGTCAATTGTGTCCTTTTTGTTTGCTACACGCACACACATAAACCAAAAGACGATAAACGATAAATAAGACGCAATCCAAATCGAATACGAATTCACTCGAGAATGCTACACTGTCGATTTATGGCTCAAACCCATTTTAATATTTACATAATATATTTTTTTGTATTCTTCTGTGATGTTCGTTTCAAATGATTTTACAGATCTTATGCTTACGTTCGACAAAACAGACATTTGCTTTTTTTCAATTTCATCGACACAACGAAGAGAATGAAATTGAGAAATCGACAGATTAAATGAAAAACAAAGTTGTTTTGATGAAAATGTGCAATAACGTGGAATTTGTATCTCAATCGATTTCAACTAAATTGCGGTCAAAACAGTTCGAGTTTTGACATGTACATTAATTTGGAGCAATTCTGATGTTGTTGCATTGCGTAACTCATCTGACTAAGCGTGACGAATCATCAGAGAAAAAAAACTGTGATTTGATTAGATAGAATTTAAATGATTCTTTAGTCAACCGACCACAATTGTTTCCCAAAAACGATTTATAAATTGAAACTTGGCATGTTGTTATTGTATCTCGCAATTTATCGTAACTGCTTTAACTATTAGTCACAGTCAGAAATGCTCGCGTCACTGATACGGTTGGCGTCAGAATCCACGCACAAACACAAGAAAACTAAACTCTATTCAATTGAATATTCTAATAAATCACGTATGATTTCAGTGTTATTGGTTTTTTTTTTTATTTCCTTTCAATTGGCAATCGCTTTGATTTCACTTCATCGAAGTTTCTTTGGGTTTTTCACAAGATATTCGTGCACACACTACACTTTGTACATGATTCAAATTCGTCCAATGTTCTACTTCAATCCGATAAGATAACACATTTGAATCGAACTTGCAATCTTACACCTTCTTGTTACTTCGACGATTCGACTACCGATGTTTCTAGATACACAATTTCACAGCAAAATCTTTTTAGGATTTATTTTTACTTTCAACGGGTGGAGGGGGTGTAGAATTGTCATTCAAACCGATAGCAATCAATGATAATGAGTGAATGTTGAAAGCAAATGCATCGCATTAAATACTCTCCCATCGACTTGTTTCGTCGATTTTGTTACACGTTAATTATGCGCCTTTTATTTCCACGTTCGATGTTCTTTTTTAGGTCACACAACAAGTGGTTTAAAATAACGCTCAAATAATTTATTCTATTTGAACTGACTTTAATGACAGACAGATATCGGTGTAATGCGCGAGTGATATTTTTGGATATTTTTTTTACCAAATGCGGATGAAAACGGTTTTAATCTAGTGACAAAAATAGAGTTTTATTTCGACTTTGAACTCAAATGTTTATTAGTCTAACACAACAAAAAAGGCGATCTTATTTTTAATTCACCTCCAAAAAAATGTTAACAAATTTACCGAAAAAAAAACCCAGTAAATTTGAACAATTCGAATTAAGCACCCATATGATGATATTTAACTACTAAAAAAAAACAAAGCGTAATGACATTTACGGTTGATCATAAATTTATCGTTTCTTTCGGTTGAGTTCATTGAAAAATGTATATCTGAAAAACAAATGAACTTGTTCTCGCAAATGACAATTAATGCGGCAAAAATTAAACAAAACAAATTCTTCACAGAGATCAAGAAACGAGTGGAAATTATAGTGAAGGAATTGATATAAAAATTAACATTTTTGCACGACAAAAATAACGTGAAATTTAAGAGATAGAAAAAGTAACACACACCGTCACCGAATGAAGTATCTTTTTTACGTGTTAATGACGTTCCGTAATATTCGTTGAGCAAAACGCTACGTTTTCGTCTGCCACAACAGCTAAATAACAACTGAGCCAAACAAAAGTGATACAATCGAAGAATTCCTGTATTGTGACCAAGTATTCGACTGGGCGCATGTATGTGTGTATTTGTGTACGATATGATCGTGTGTTGACACAGAGCGAATAAGTGAATCGTTAAAAAAAACCAGATACACAATGAAGTCGACAATAGTAACAGCTATGTAGAAAGAGAGATAGAGAAGCAAAAAACAATAATTTCTGACTTATGCTTGACATTTTTATCGAAAATGAAGTGCAGTAAGCGAAACAAAAAATCGGTTCGACACACTTGCTATTATACCGTGAAAAACAAATGGTTCAACTTGTGTTGTTGCATTTGTGTCATTGTCAAACACGCCTTGCCAATTCAATGAAAATCATTTCTTTTGTTCGAACCTTTCCACTTTTACTCTTCTTTTGTTCATGAGCTATCGCTGTGGAATGCCCGATAAATGCGATCAATTAGTCATTGTGGGTTTCGTATTTTGTCATTGCGGTAATGAATGGAATGCATATTAAAGGAAATTTCTTTCTTTCCAAAGCATTGAGTCAACTGAACGGTTATTGCACTTATTGCCAAAACAACACCAGTCAATCAATGATTTCGCATAAGAATTTCAGTTTATAATTTGAATGGCAATGTAATGAATCACTTCAATTGGTTCTACTGTAAAAGACCATAGTTTTTCTTACGCTAGATGTCGTTGCCTCCGCATGACTGACATTTTGATGCGTCAAACTAATTACAGTGAGATAAGCTGTCAATGTGTTAACACCAAAATATTCAGTATAAACTAATATTCAGAGCGAACAGAAGCAATGGCGTCGGATAAAACAAAATCAAATAGTTCAGTGAAGCATATTCCAAAAGATGCCCAAGTCATAATGTCAATAATGAAGGAGTTAAATGTGACCGATTACGAACCGATTGTTATAAATCAATTACTTGAGTTCACATATCGTACGTATTTGGCCTCTTTGGTCAATCGACCAATTGGCATAACCTCATCCATCACAAATCACGGCTAATTGTATGTACTTTAATTTGTTGTTATTTTAGGATATGTTACATGTATTTTGGACGATGCAAAAGTCTATGCAAATCATGCAAAGAAAAAGGTTATTGAATTGGACGACGTAAAATTGGCATCACAAATGACATTGGAAAAGGCGTTCACAACACCACCGCCGAGAGAGGTAAACAAATCGCTTCCACTGTTCAAAATAAATTCAATTTTCAAATGTTCAATTTGATTGATAATTTTGATATTTTGTTTTTCAATTTAACTTTTGTTTAGGTTTTACTGGAATTGGCACGTAGTAAAAATGTGATTCCATTGCCAATAATCAAAACACATTGTGGACTTCGTTTACCACCCGAACGTCATTGTCTTTTGTCAGCAAACTACAAACTGCGAGCGGCTGAATTGCAACCGAAAAAACTTGGCAAATCAGCATTAGATCGATCTGGATCGAAGAACAAATCTACCGGTTCAACAATGCTCAAGCGTCAATCGATTGCAAATTCATCAAAAACACAAACGGTTTCAATACCAAAGCCAACGTTCAAAGTTAGTGCCAATACGAATGGCAGTGCAAATGGTGCCTCAGGTTCGTCGGGTCCAACACAACCGCCGATTTCAATTGCCAATAATCATCAAATAAAACTAAATAGCGAAATTAAAATGGAAGTAGAAGATGATTACAGCAATTACAGTAATGATTCTCACGGCAAACGAAAACGAGAAGATGACGACGATTTTGAATATGAAGAGGAATTCGAAGCCGTTGCTTAAGCTGTTTACCGTACATTTTTCACTTCATTCCGATTTCAATCGTTGTCGACAGATCATTAACATTGATTTACTCCCCCTTTAATTTATAACCTATTAGGATCTGTTAAAAATCATTTCAACTCGTCGTCGTCGTGCTAAGATTTTTAGGAAACAAATTTTTTTTTATATGTAAATAAGTTTATGCAAATAAATTTTATTGAGAGAGAAAAAAAACCACTGGAAAATCAAATCAAAATAAAATTGATAATTAAAAATAATGGAAATGAAATCGAAATGAAAATGATTGTGATATTTGTTTTATGCTCGAACTGATTGAATTAGTGTGCAGCCCAAGTCCATAATTTGCAGGTATTCGGAGCCGCCTTCTTGCATACGCAAACTACATTCACCCAATTTATCGCAAATGGTCGCTTTTTGCTTGCATGTCAGCGCCGAATTTTTGATCACAAAATCATTGAATTGATCGAAGAACTGTGAGATGGAGTATGCATCGTACTGGATATTTTGAACGTATTGTTCGAGTTTGCTGTAGTCACCTTTTTTGCAAACTTCCAAAAAATCCGATAAATAATGGGTCGGAATCAAACCGCTCATTTCGAAAATGTCAGTTTTTGTAATATTTCCTTGACCAACTTTGAGGCGAAAACAAGATTGTAGCGTTGTTATTGCTCGACGCATGTCACCATCCGATATGTCAACGATGATATCAAACACATCGTTGTCAATTTGAACATTTTCCTCGCGACAAATGTATTGTAAACGTTCGATGATTTTTTCGCGTGCAAGCGCCTTGAAACGGAATTTCGTGCAACGAGACGTAATTGGCTCGATAATTCGTGACACATAATTGCATACCAAACAAAAACGTGTCGTTCTACATTCTTTTTCCATCGTTCGACGTAACGCAGCCTGGGCAGCATGTGTCATTGAATCGGCTTCATCAAGGATAATGATTTTGAATGGTGGACACGGTTTACCACTGTAAAACGAAATAATAAATTAGATTCAGTCTGGCTCATCGAACATTTGTAATTTACTCACTCTGGCCGAACAGCACTGGCTGTTAACTGTGAAAATTGTTTGACACGATTTCGAATAACATCGATACCACGCTGATCGGATGCATTTAATTCCAATATACGTTCTTTGTAGATATCACCGAACAGCTGATGAGCGGCGGCAAGAATTGTTGACGTTTTACCCGTACCTAAAGTAAAGCAGGCGTTTCGAAAATGAGTTTCTTTTACTCCGCACATTTAATATGACATTGTAATACCTGGTGGTCCATAAAGCAGTAAATTTGGTAAATCAGCACCAGACAGTGAGTCTTTCAACACGGCAACCACTTCTTTTTGTTCAACAACATCGTCAACTTTCTTTGGTCGGCTGAAATTATACAAATCAATGTTTTAGTAATGCAAACTACCAAAATCATTAATGTTGCCTTGATTTCAAACTACTCCGAACAAACTTACTATTTTTCAACCCATGGAACAATTTTTTTGACTTCGATTTCGGATGATTTGCCAGATGATGTGCTTGGTTTGGCAAATCCACCACTAACTTTACCGGTTTTCAAGAATGCCTGCATTTTTTTTTCGCGTTATTTCAAGCACAGAAGCAACAAACGTTTTAAATTAAATGTCAACAAATGTGTTCGGGTCTTTTGGCGGCTTTTTTTTCGTTGTGTGTCTTTCTGTTCACTTTGACGTTTTAATCTACACATCGACCGCTATCGATACTGCAGTCGATTTGAAATCATTTCAAATTTTAACGCGCTTCATTTTTTACATTTTTTCCAGCGAAATATTATTTATTGAACGATTTTTTCGATAAAAATGAGCGAAAAAGTCAAAAAGAAAAGAAATTATTTTAAATTGAAGCGTATTGAAGTGATATTTTTTGGTTATAAATGTAAAAAGTGAGGTTTATCTAATTCGCGCCATAAAACATATGATGGCATGAATTGGAATTTGCGCAAATGCTATCACAAACATGTGATTGACATTTCCACCCACAAAATGTTTTTTTTTCTTCATATTTCAAGGTATTTATATTGCGTTTTATTTTCACACCTGGAAAATGGTACCTGTCAATTAAGTGGTGTGCATTTTTCGAATTTCAGTTTTTCCTTTAGTTTTGAGAGAAATTCGTTTAAAATTCCCTTAGAAAACGGCAAATGAACAATATGTCAAATGCCGTTTCCCAATATTTGTGTTTTATTTCCATTCAGGAAGAATGTCATTTTACTGCAAAGTCGTAAAAGGTAATAATTTTTCCAAAATCGATTTCAACCAAGCTCTTCATTTTAATGCATTCATTTTGCATGTAGATTGCATGCAAATTATCTTTAATCACCCCGCAGTTGACATTTTAATTGTGCATTTTTACGAAAATCGCCTATTCGCATTTGTAAAACTTCATATAAATTATAATTATATCATTTAGTAATTGCTGTGGAATTGAAATTATACGAACAAGCGAGAGAAAGAGAAAAAAATCACTTGCATGTTGATTGTCGATATATCTACAAATACTTAAATCTATTCAATGCAGAATTATTGATGGCTCATAATAATGACCTGAATGTAAACATATCTGTTGTTTTATGAATGAGCACATGTGTGGCCACATGGTTGTGTTATGGTCAATGGGGAATGGGCTGCGCAATGGCGAAAGGTGATTAAGAATTAATGATACCGTCGGCAATTTTGAATCCATGTGCTGTTTTTATGGCATATTTCACTATGATTCATCCATTCAGGAACTCATCCATAATTAAAACACCAAGCCCTCTTTTTTCATGGGTCGTGATCAATTCGACTGAATGAATAAAACTGTTTTATAAAATAAGCGGATTATTTAAATAGTTAATTTTTTTTTAATAAAAATGCACGATTTCACATGGAATTTGATTTAAAAATCAAAATACATGCAAGTGGTCGCAACATTAAACAAAAACTAAAATAATCGCTTTTTTCAGTCCGTAGCCGTTTTTATTAGAAAACAACTTAATAACGTGCAATTTAACGGCCTTTCTCTCCATTTGTTGCCGTTTTCAATGAACGTACACGAAGTCCCCGGCGAATCGTGAGGACAGTGCAAACAAAATACAGAACACATCCATATGGCGCGTCTCATGTACAAACCATAAGCTCAGTTTTATTTTCATTCAACGGCATTGTGTTAGTATAACACATTCTATGTAATATATATTGAATTCAATCTATGCTTGTATTGATGATTTGTTTTGATATTTGGGATGTGTTGGCGACTTTAGTCTACTAGTATTATTCCAATTTTTATTTACGACTTTAGAAGAATCAAGTCGCCAGAGACGACAGAGCGGTCTCACGAGTGTTTAATAACACAAGTGCGATTTTGTATATGTCTTCAAATTCAATATATTCTACGAAATTATTTGTCATAGAGTGCACAAAATATTTTTAAAACAAATCATCTGTTGTGATGATGTCTCGCACAGTCGATATGCTCGATGTGCTGGCATTCGTTTAAGTCAGTGTTATTAAGAAGAAAAAAATGTGTGTGAATAATCGAGATTGAGAAGAAGTTGAAGTGAGGGAATTCGCAATGATTATGTCATCGTTGACTAAATAAATTAAATTGTGCATCCGTTTCAGAGCAAGCTGAGACGTTAAAGCGTTCGCAACGCAGTTATCATTGTTTGTGGTGTTATTTTTTTGTAAAATATTTTAAAAGTAAATTGTTTAAAATTTAAAGATTATTCTCAAAGTTTGTTTTTTACTCCATTGTTGGGATACATAGACTTTTGTTTAAATACGTGTGGGTAAAGAGTGTGTAACAATGTCAAGGTTTGTGTTTAAATATTTTAAATTGTTCGTAAGTTGGTTTTTTTGCCGACGGCAATAAAATATTCATAGTCATACACTACGGCGCAACCAATTTTGAGCAAATCTCAAAATTAATCATTAAATCATTCTCCAAACTCCATCATTGTTTCGCACCGATGTTTTCTGAACGCGCAATAAGTACCAGTTTTCGGCATCGAAAATAACAACATACACGACGTGTTTAAAAATGTATCTCTCTATTTATATGTAACTTGGACGCACGCTCACTCGCACTCAGTATTATAACAAATATATATGCTGAGGAACACCCAAAAATATATGTGGTCGACACACAAAATTTGGTTTTTAAATGTGTATCTTTCTCCTGTGTGTTTAGACCGATGCGATCATCAGTCGTGTGAATATAATTCATCGATTAAGTTGTTTTGGGTCTTTGTTGGTTTTTAAAATCAAGTTTTTGCCTGAATTTAAAAGAGAATTGTGTGAGTCAACCATTTAGCAGGCAATTCTTTAATCAAGAAGCAGATTGAATCATATTTAAATAAAAACAAAATCAATATATTATCAACACTCCGCACCGTATGACTCAAGTCGCAGTAATATTTCATATTTAATGATTAATTTCAGTGCACGGTCGAAAAGGCTAAAACCTCAGTTTTTTGCAATAAAAATTTTCGAACTAAAAACTCATTGAAATAAAGATTAAAACTGCGAAGGTGACAAAATTTTTATTTTTAATTTGATTGTATGTAAATCGTTCATGATTCATTGAGCATAAAATTCAATTTTCGGAACAAGCTACGGAATAAACCGCACAACCACAAGAAAAACTATGCTCACCGATAACGCATGTTTGCCGTTAGCTTATCGACATGTCGTAATGAATTTTGTGTTGCCTATGGTTTGTTTTCAAATAGAAACAATCGGCAGCTGGTTATGGAAATGTTGACATTGAACTAATCAACGAATTGATTTTTTTCCTTGTACTCTATTCGTCAAATTGACGACGTCAATCAATCGAATATTAAAAAAAAGTTTATTTGTTTGAGACTATAAGCTGTTCATAATTTTGGTCTTCATAGTCGGAAATACTACGTCGACTATTACGTAATTTCATACAAAATGAACTCAAAATAGCATGCAAAAATGATTTCATTTAATCTCAATTTTGTTGAAATTTGTTTTATCATTTCTGTGAAATTTACTTAAATTAACAAAAATGCTTTTCATTTTCGTTCTCAGTATTCTTATCTCGAGATAGAACAAAAATGTTCTAAGTAGATTTTAACATGTTTTACTCGTTTTTTATAGGCCATCTGCTGGGCAAGACGCGAGCTCGAGTGTACAGGCAGGCGATGATAGTTTCCAAGACGACCTTGTGCAATTAGATACCGGGAAAACTAAAAATTCCGATGAAATGGCGGCTGCTAGCAAAGAAGCATCCAAAGATGAGCCAGTTGTTAAACCGGCAGCATCAACCAGAAGTGATGACAGTGTTTTTACAATTTTATACTCGATTGTGAAAAAAGTGTCTGTGGTCGGTGCCATCTATTTGGTTGGCTATATGAACTGGTCCGTTGCATGGCTTATAACTCCAGTAATTTTGGCTGTTACCCGTGAATATTGGCACAAAACAAACGAGACGAAACGAGCAATAGCCAAAGCAACTGCAACATCCAATGAAAAAGATGTAATTTTGGCGCGTATAAACGATTTACCAGCTTGGGTTAGTCGAAAACTAAAGAAAACAATAAGAAACTCAACGAAATCAATAAATATTTTGAACGTTATTCATTGTAGGTTTATTTCCCTGACATCGAACGCTGCGAATGGATAAATCGAGTAAGATTTCTCAAAACTTTTAAAGAAACTCAACTTTTGAAATCGAAACATTTTCGAATTCTTATTAATTGAGGTGTTTTCATTGCCCCTTAGATCTTGCAACAAGTTTGGCCGAATGCAAATTACTTTGCAAAGGATTTGGTTAAGGATGTGATCGAACCAAAGATTGCCGAAGCACTGACTGAATATAAATTGAATGGTTTTAAGTTTGATCGTATCGTCTTGGGCACAATACCACCACGCATTGGCGGTGTAAAAGTGTACGATAAAAATATATCACGAAATGAAATTATCATGGATATGGATCTATTTTATGCGAGCGACTGTGACATCAATTTCCAATTGTCCGGAATGAAAGCGGGTATGAAACGAGATCCATCTTATTATTCCGAGTTTTTACTACAAAATTTCACTGCAAATTCCCAAATTTTGATTCAAAATCCTAATGTTATTCCACGTGCCTTCCCTTTAGGAATAAAAGATTTTCAGATTCATGGAATGGTTCGGGTCATCATGAAGCCATTAATTTCGAAAATGCCTCTAGTCGGTGGCTTACAAATCTTCTTCTTAAACAATCCAGATATTGATTTCAATTTGGTTGGTGTTGCCGATTTGTTGGATATGCCGGGATTGAGTGACATGCTGCGTCGTATTATTATCGAACAGATTGGTGCCATCATGGTACTGCCCAATAAGTTGCCAATCTCACTTAGCGATGAAGTTCCATCGATAACGTTGAAAATGCCCGAACCAGAAGTAATTGAAAAGATCATTGTCAATCCATTTAAAAACGAATTAAAGCGAATTGTTTCGATTTTAGGGCGTTTTGAGAATTCATGTCGTCGAAGCAAAGGACTTGATGAAAAAAGACATTGGTGTACTTGGAAAGGGAAAATCCGATCCTTATGCTATTGTAATGGTCGGTTCACAACAATTCCGTACACCAACCATAGATAATACCGTAAATCCAAAATGGGACTATTTCTGTGAGGTATGCATTTCTGTTTAAAAAAATTACCACATTGATTTTGGGTGCGCTAGGATGACAAATTAAATTACGTTCTACCGAACTATTTTTTGGGAAATGCTGAACTAAAAAATCGCCTATGTTTGAAGTTGGCTATTCCGAACGGAGTATCGAATCACATTTTTACTTGATTTATTTTCCGAATTTTGATTTTTTTTACCTGTATGCCAGTTTAAATTTAACATATTATGAATGGAAATGAATCCAGCTGTAGTACGAAATTTGGATTAAATGCGCTTTTAGAACACCGTGATACACAAATTACCGTAAAAATGCGAATGAATTTCCAATTTAAAAGCACCGATACAAACTTCCGCTAAATATAGCTCAGCAAATTTAATAAGAACTGTATCAAAACAGAAAAAAAAGACATTTTACTTTTGAATGAAAGAATATATTCGCATGATGTCAAAAAGAAATGCAAACAAATTTCAATTGACGAAAATGCGAAGTGAAAAAAAATTTGTGCCGTTTTGAATGTCGTGTTGTTTTCGATATCTATTCTTCTGAAATATGGAATGAGCATGAAACAAAAAAGAATCTTTTGTAGTCCAAATGAATCAACCATTTTCTCCACTTTCCTCATCTTATCCTACTCCTTTTTCCAAACAAAAATTTCCATTTATTTCTCACTTTTGTATGAAAAAAAAAATTATTTTTGAACAAAATATCACATCAAATCAAAACCAAAATGAACATTTTTATATCAGGCAGTCATTCAAGCTGAAGTTGGACAATGGGTTAATTTCAGTCTTTTTGATAAAGATGAAACGAGTGACGATGAAAACTTGGGAAGGTGAGACACTCACAAACAACCACATTACTATTTCTCAAAAAAAAAAAAAAAAAAAAAAAAATCATTCAGTACAAATTAAGACTTTGTTGCAATACATTGTAAAACAAAATTCAACTTCTGACAATTCAACTCCCCCTCGATAACTCACCTCACAATTACATAAAAAAACAATGACTTGGTACAATGATACACACCAAAAACATGCCCATTTCTATTTCACAATTCTTAATAGTTTCTTTAATCAACCACTTAGATTCTCTTACACAATTCACCATAGAAACAGTAGTTACTCTTCTTTGCTTTAGATCTTTTGCCATTTGAATTTGGACACATTCAAGTAGATATTAACATTTTTAAATTTGTTTCTTATTTTATTGTTTCTATTATGCGAATGACTATTTCTATTAATTCTATAAATATACCATGTAGAGCTTTCTTTGTTGGTACTTTGCATTATACATTCTTTCTGCATTTGTAGCGCTTGGTTTTGGTCTAATGTTTGTATATATATATTGATTAGCCATAGATTAGGCCATAAACTAAGTTTGGTTAAATTTATGTTTATTTAGTTGTATTAAATAATTGAAATTTTTATTTAAAATGAAACAAAGTATCCGATTGTTGCGGTTGATGGTCTTGTACAATTCGATTTGTGGGACTACGACCCTGGTTTCCCCGGCACTGAGAATGATGATTTTCTTGGAAGGTGGTGGTTTTTCTATCCATGTGCTTTGTTTCGAATTTTTTTTTGGACTTTATTTTTGTTCCGTTCAAACATCGTTTTCAACTTCTTCATTGACGATCACTAAGCGTCAATTCATTCGCCTAACTAATATATAAACTAATTTTCGCCATATAAAAAGTTTTTTTTTTTGAAATATTTCTTTTAAAATTAACATTGTTGGGAACATCTTATTCAGCTTTCAATTAACAATATATATATATTTTCGCTGCAAACACATGAAATTGTGGGCAAATCCAATATGAAATTCGAATCTGAAACATTTCGAACACGCTAACCATTTTACAGGCTTGCTTTGATGTTAAATGTTCAACAAACATCGGGTTTGATTTATTTGACTGGGATAGAACGGGCAATAATGAACCGCTTGGAAGGTTTGCTTTATCAAATATCTTTATTTTTGTATTTGTAATTACCTTTTGTTCATGTTGTCTGATAGACATTCATTTTGTAAATGGTTTCATCATTTAATTGGTAACATGGAAGCACGTTTAAATAACATAATCACTTCAATAACGAATCCCCATTCGTTTTTCTTTCTTTCTTTTTCAGTTTTACTCATTTTGTGTGCAAAGACGTTGAATTTTTGTTTTTTTGTTGTTCGTTTGATGCAAGTCATAAAATGATTTTCCATCACTATTTCATTGCACATTCATTTTTCAACGAAAAATCTTTAAATAAGGCTAATATCGATTTTCTTTCCAAATTCAGAGCCACAGTTGAGATTAGCAATGTTGTGAAAAATGGAACCTTGGACACGGTAATTGTGCTTCATTTTCTCCTTTGACTCGAAGTATTTGTAACTAATGGTATTTTAATATCATTACAGTGGATTACACTAGAGCAAGCAAAACATGGAATGCTACACGTTCGTTTCAGCTGGTTGGAATTGTCCTCGAACGCGAGTGACTTGCATTCGGTAGGTTTGACGATAAGATTTTGTACATTTGCCAAAAAGTATACAAATCATTTCTATTTTTGAATAGGCACTTGCTGAGACTCAACTATTGCGTGTTACAAATTTGGCGAGCGCTGTACTCTCGGTCTATATCGATTCAGCAAGTGACTTACCACAAGCTCGCGTTCAATCCAAACCAGATCCGTTTGCGATTTTAAGTGTTGGCAAAACAAATCAACAAACAGCAGCACTTCGACGTACAGATGCACCAGGTAAACTATTGCGGATAAGAATAGGAATAAGGAACAATTGATTAACCCATATTTATTTTTTTTTTATTTTGGTGAATTGCGACCAGTCTGGGAACAAGGTTTTACGTTTTTGGTTGCAAATCCGGCAAACGGCACACTGCTAATTAAAATTGTCGATCAAAAAACCGAAAAAGATCTTGGTCAATTTACTTATATTCTCAGCACTTTATTGACAAAACCGAATTTGGAACTTGTGTCGCAGCCATTCCAACTTCAAAAATCTGGCGCTACTGCAAAGGTCGTAATATCGCTGGCATTGAAGATTTTGAAAAAACCCTTGAACCAATCAAGTGAACCCGTCACCCGGGGTGAAGCGCCAATGATTCAACGTCAACCATCGCAAATGTCACAAACACAAGAAGTGTCGGAAGTGAAAAATGTGAAATTGGCCGAGTTCCCACCGAAATTGGCTGAAATTCCAAGCCAAGTGGACAGCGCTGTCGATGAAATGATTGAAAATGCCAAGAGCAATGTGAGCGAATTCATTTCGAACGAAGCGGCCAATGTACTAAACGATGGACCACAATCACAGCTACGCCGTCGTCAATGGAGCACCCAATCGGAAATAAGCTCACATGGTTTGGGTCGAATTCAAATCAGTTTATATTACAGCGTCCAAAGACAGCGCTTATCGGTAACTGTGCATAAAATTATGTAAGTTTGGACATCGATTAATATACATAAATCCACTGGTTTCAAAGATACTCTTTTTAAAAATACTTTCCAGTAATATCCCATTGAAAGATCCATCGAATGTGCCAGATCCATATGTGAAGTGCTACTTGTTGCCAGCTCGTTCAAAGGAATCGAAGCGCAAAACAATCATTGTAAAAGATTCGTGTGACCCCGTGTATGATGCAACATTCGAGTATATAATTTCATCGGCTGAATTGAAGAATACCGAATTGGAGGTGACTGTGGCCACGCAAAAGGGATTCCTAAGCGGTGGCAGCCCAATCATTGGAATGGTAAATCAATTCTCTCGATCGGTCATAACACACGGACAATTGAATTATTCTCTTTTTTTCGCATTTCGATAACAGTTGAAACTACCTTTGGACGACGCAGATATTACAACACAAGGCATCTCCAATTTTTATGATCTGCAACCAGAAATTAAAGCAGATTAAACTGAAACAATTTTTCAGAGAGCGTCCCAAAAAAAAACGAGACCTTCTTTTTTATGATTTATCTTAATTATTTTAGCCAAATTTTCACCGTCATGGATCGCAGGGATTTAAAAAAAACTGAATGCACCATCACTGTAACCTAATATGTATTCACTTCCGTACAAACATGATGTTCACATGTAACTCTGTGCCTTCTCTTTAAACGAAACCTATCGCTTTCGCTCTTCTTGGGCTCGACCAGATCAGCCTATCTGCATTTTTTTATACATTTGAGTCATTTTGCTCCAGTCCATCAAAAAGGAATCGAATGATGGATAGTATTTTATCGTGAAAGTATTCGAAAACCAGTCGATATATTGATATATTGTCATTAGTTTTAATTCATAGCTTTCGCTTATATTTTGCTGCAAAGAAATAAAATTTTTAAAACTGAACCTTCTTTGAAGAAATAACAAATGAATCGTTGCATTATTCTTTTTAAAAAGGTCAATTAAAATTATGATGATTGAAGTGAATCAATTAGTGAATAACTGAGACGTTCTAATTGCATAAAAAGAGTTTGAGAATGTTTGAAGTCATTCACACGTTACGCACTGACAGAGAATTTGGTTGTAAAAAGATCCGAAAATGGTTGAACAACCTTGAGTTCCAGTCAAAGTTAGGAAAATCATAATTTTATTTATAGAAATATTCTATTGAGAAAAAATTCCAATACAGTAAATCGTCAAATGTATCAATTTTCAACCGTAGTCTGACCTTTTTACAACCACACATTCCTTCAGTGTGCATTCAAAACAAAAAAAATAGTAAACAAAGTCTTCGCTAAGTAGCTTTGAAATCTTAGAACCATATCTGTAGCTATTCCCCAACAAACACCAGTTCAACCGATTCACATGTAATCATATAAAATGCTAAAATATATACACACAACCAACCATGCGTGTACAATATTTTCCACACTAACTCACTCGGTTTTATTTTCTAGTCAAATAGACACATGTTTTCCTATGTTCGTTCACATCCTACAATTGTATGCGTTTTATTGTTCTACGGAATACAAGCCGGTTATGGAAATACACCATATATCTGTAATACAGACGCAACGAATCTGTATGCGGTAGTACGTAATAGGTATGTGTGCTCAGTTGGCATGTTAGCGAGCCGTTTATTTACCCAAGAGTTGTTGTTCTGATCGCAAGTGTTTCCGATTTCAGTTGTGATTTTTTCATTTTGGTTTTTACATTTTTCAACAATTTTTTTTTTGCGTTAAAGAGTTTTATTTATTGTGTGTATGTGTTAAAATGAGTCTGTTTATTTGCTAAAATTGTTTAAGTTATATTTTCTCTCAGTGAAGTGAAGCGATTATGAGGTCATACACTGTTTAGTATTCGGTTTCATCAATCAATTGACCCTGAATTTTATTGGCCAAAAAAGTCAATAAAGTGACATCATGGCAACTGTTGGCATCGGAAATTGCCAAAATCAGATACCATATGCTGAGAAAACGGCAGACCCAAAATATGGAAATGAGAAAAGCATTGTTGAATTCTTAATTCAAATTCTAAAGAAAGCGGCGTTAATAACTGCGATTTACTTTTTCGGTTACTTTAATTGGTCGGTTGCATGGATCATCACGCCAATGATTTTAGTTGAAACACATAAATACTGGCGCGTAAATGACGAAAATAGCAAATTCGTGAGGAAAATTGCCACACTCTCAGCAGCAACGAATGAAAAAGATGTGATTCTATCGAACATCAAAGACATGCCGTCATGGGTATATTATATTATCTATTATCTATGTATAACGAATGTTTCGTAACGTAATGAATGCTTTTGTTTAATAGGTGTATTTTCCGGACTTTGAGCGCTGCGAATGGGTTAACAGCGTAAGTATAAGCAGAAAATAAATCGTGTTCTTTCAAGCGAAAATAGCAAAAAAAAAACACATTCAACATTTGATTTATCTACACTAGATTTTACTGCAAATATGGCCGAATGTAAACGATTTCCTGAAAAACTTTGTAAAAGACTTTCTTGAGCAAAAAATTCGAAAATCACTGTCCAAGAAGAAATTGAATGACTTTGAATTTGATCGCAATCGGATTTTATTTGGAACAACTCCCCCGAGAATAGGCGGCGTTAAAGTATACGATAAAAATGTTTCACGCGATGAAATCATTGTTGATTTGGAATTGATTTTTATGAGCGACTGCAATGTCAACTTTAAGTTGGCCGGGTGTCATGCGTCTTTACAAGATTTTGAAATTCACGGTATGATACGATTGATAATGAAGCCGCTAATTTCGAATATGCCATTCATTGGCGGAATGCAAATTTTCTTTTTGGATAAACCGCATATTGACTTTAATTTGGGCGGAACGAGTGAAATTTTGAAAATTCCTTATTTGAGTGATTTGTTGCGTCGCGTGATTTCAAAGAAAATCGCTAAAATCATGGTATGGCCCAATAAGTTCCCCGTGAAACTAACCAAAAAAGCCACATCAGCTGCAATAAGAATGCCAGAACCAGAAGTTAGTGAAAGACAAATGTTCAATTGTTGATAATAATTATCAACGTTTTTATCAACTGCAGACAACAACATTTATCAGCGTGTTATCTGATAAAGTTGTGGTTCTTTTTATTTATTTATACGGTTAACTTTGTTTTGCTTTCATTTACTTCAGGGTGTTTTGAGAATAAATGTGGTGGAAGCGCGTGATTTAATCAAACAAGATATTGGTGGCAAATCGGATCCGTATTGCATTTGTGTGATTGGAATGCAACAATTTCGAACTCGAACCATTTATAATAATTTGAACCCTGTTTGGAACTACGTTTGTGAGGTGGATATGATTTTTATTTGATTTTGTATTCGGAGTGTAATGAAAGTGCATATATTCACAGGCATGTATCGATGTTAAATGTCCGAGGTCAATACAATTTCAACTTCACGATTGGGATAGAACGGGAGGTAGCGATCCGCTGGGCAGGTGTGTTATTAATTACTTTGCGTGATTTTTTATATACATATTTAAAAAATAATAAATTTGTAAAATAATAACCATAATAATGTGTGTCGAATCGACACTGTCGATTGGCCTATTTGTATGGATTTCACAGTAAATGTGAATTTAATATTAAAACCTATAATAACGAAAATGTGAACATTTTGATTGATTTTCTGTCCATGTTTAGCGCAACGGTTGACATAAGCCACATTATTAAGAATGGCAGTCTAGATACGGTAATTGATTGAGCAAAGCAAATCCATTTCATTTCAATGGGCATAATCAAATAAATTAAATAAATAAACGATACATTTATTACAGTGGATCTATCTAGAGAATGTTAAACACGGGGAATTACATGTGCGTTTCACGTGGCATGAACTGTCGAGCATGTACGGTGATCTGCGTGAGGTGAAAACACTTTCAACAAATACAAACAATTTCAACATTTACAATTAATATTAACACAAACACATTAAATATGATTATACAGGCTCTGGCTGAAACCAAATTATTACAAACGACAAAATTAAGCAGTGCTGTTTTGTCTGTTTTTATTGATTCTGCAAGTGACCTACCTCAAGTGGACGATCACGAATGTAGTAAACCGGATCCATTTGTTGTTCTCTCGGTGGGAAATGTCGAACGAAAGTCATCGGCCAAAAAAGAAACAGATAACCCCGTTTGGGAACAAGGTTTTACATTTCTGGTTTCGAACCCAGAAACAGATGCACTTCAAATTCGAGTTGCCGGGAAGAATCCGGATGAAAAATATGGCGATCGTCTTGGACAATTTACATTTAAAATCGCCGAGCTTTTGACGCAAAACGATTTATGTAACCATTTGCAATCATATCAATTGAAAAAATCGGGATCAACATCTAAAATTACCATGGCATTGGCATTGAAGATTTTGAAAAAGGCTGAAAGTCGTTCCAATGACTTACCCACCATGGATGATACAGCAGTTGAGCCTGACGAAGAGCTACTAGATGAAAGTATTATATCAGAAGTTGGAAATCAATTGAAAAATGGCGTACACGAGCAGAACGTAGATCAACAAATAGCAAATATCCACACTGAGTCATGCGATAGCCCACCAAATGACGGGTCTTCTTTGAGTTTCTTTGGATTGGGTTGCGTCAAAGTCACTTTGCACTACAGTGTTGAACTTCAATATCTGTCCGTTACAATTCATAAGATTATGTAAGTTGTATTGGCTTGACCTTTTTTTTCAAGAATTCTTTATTAAAGCTGTCAATTTTACTATGTAGAAACATCCCGCTAAAGGATCAATCAGTTGCATTGAATCCGTATGTGAAATTGTATCTATCAGGACGGCAATCAGAAACGAAGCGAAAAACGCGTGTAGTAAAAGATACAAGTGATCCCATTTATGATGAAACCTTTCGATATTTACTTTCACCCGCCGAATTGAAAACCAATAAATTGCACATAGTTGTGGCAACGCGAAATACATTTTATGCACTGCTACATGGAACGAGTTCGATTCTGGGAAAGGTAAAAAGAAATTCAATTTCAAATTTCATTGCGAAATTCATTTGTAAATGTTTTAACAGGTGCAAATTAGCTTAGATGATGCGGACATTGCATCGGGAGGCGTCACAAATTTCTATGATATTTCACCTGATAACGAGCAAGATTGAGCGAATGCAGTCTCTTCCAACACACATTTTTTATTGAACAAGTCCGGTGACCATAACATATGGTTTTTTTTCGTATATTTTATCACTTTAAAAGTAACACTTTTCTGCATTTTTTGCATTCATTCCAGTTTTATAGTTTAATAATCGAGTCAAACTTACCTCACAGAGATATTCTCTGCTAAAATAGAACACCGACATTTCCAATCTGTTATACGATTTTAAAAATAAAGTGCAATCCAATTGAAATAAATGAAAACATGTGTGCAAATTTTTTTTCTCTCTCTTTTTTAGTTTCTTGAAACCCGATACAATTTTTTATTCCATTCTTAATTCTCAAAATCTGTCACAAAATTTCGTACGTAAAAATAGGTGTTTTTATTTGTGTATTTTGTTTGACAATTTGTTTTTAGACATAGACACATCAAGATCGTCGGTTAAATGTGCTGTTCATCAAATGTGCACAACATATGTATTTGTTAGATTTATGCATGATTCACAATCAATTTGTTTAAAATGGTTAATTGCTTGGGCTTCTAATTGTATTAGCCGCTACTCAATTTTATGCCAATAATTATAAAATATATATGTATTCGAATCATCATATATTATACTTTAAATAATATTTAATATAATTCAAACAATTGCCGAATTGCGTTTGAGATATTTGCATCCATTTAAAATGGGGTTTGCTTGCTGTGGGTGTATGCGTATCGCATTCAAAATTCGACAATGATTTGTTTATTTATATCGTAAAAATATATAAAGTTGCTCTTCATTTTTGTTGAATAGAATATTTTTTCTGCATAAGTATAAAAATAACGTAATCCATTCATTGATTGGCTTTCAAGCATAAAACATTCTTTAATTCTTTTTAAATCTAACGCATTTCATGCAAACTTAATGTAACCATATTAACACATATCATTTTATGTTTTATCAGCTGCATAAAAAAATGAATGAAAATCAACATTTGTTGGTTTTATTTTGGAATCGGCAGGGTGAGAAATAAGTATGGTTTCATGGAATCGTTAAACGGTTTAGAAGATAAATCGGAAATGTTAAGACTCACAGCGAATCAAGTCATTTTCTTTTAATGGTGGCAATGAATGACAATGGCTTTAAAATTGCATATTGAGTCTCACACACATTGTATTAAGTCTTTTGAATTAATTGATTTAGTTTGCGTTCAATTGCAATACCGTCGCACATTTCGAACTGTCTCTGCCATTCCAAAAATATTAATAAAACATTCATAATATATATATACTTATTTGTTGGTCTAACATTTCTTTGAAAATTCAACCAACTTATGATCAAATAATAGGATTTTTATGAATAGATAAATTGTTTGCCCAATTATTTCTTACATGCTACGAATATTATATCATATATTTTCTGACACTTTATGAATATACAAATACATGTAATATAGTAAATATATTTAGTAAAACATTCCTAACAAGCAGGAGAATAATTTAATAAAAATTTGTATGCTCTTTTCCATTGGCTTGCATCGTATAAAAAATATCTCTGTTCATCTTAAAAAAATATCCTCGTTAACAAAATTTTTTTTTTGTTTTTCTTTTATGTGTTTGTATGTGTGTGTTATTTATGTTCAGTGTTTGTTTTTTTAGTTGAATTAGTTTTCTTGTTTGTTTTAATATACTCAGTGTGTTATTTAATCAATAATTTATCACGGACCGTTTCGTTTTTGAGGTAGTATATTGACATTTTTACAAGAGACATTTTTCTTCCCACTCTTTATTTTATTGTTTTTTATACTTTTCTCACTGAATGACACAGCATTTTGTTTTTGTCAATGGATTTTGCATAGAGAAAACAATTCAATGTAAATTGTTTTAAAATAGATAAATGAAAGCATTTTGATAACGTTATCAGTATATGCGCCGCTAAAATATTTGGGGTGTACGGCACATATTCAATAGTTGTTTATAACACATAGAATGATTTACACTCTCATTGTTTTATATTTTCTTTTGTTTAAATGTTAGGAAGCGGTAATGGATTCGAAATATTGTAAATTTATTCAAATGTAGAAGATAAAAATTCATTCAGTGGAAAATAATGTAGTGAAGTTCTATTCCAAATGAATATGTGTTCTGGTGTTTTCAATTAGTCCAGATGTTTTCAGCATGCAACATCAAACTTATACATTATTAATATATTTTAAAAAGCGGGTTATTAATAAAGCATTTCTTCTGCGTCTATTTAAATGAATTGTTTTAATTTACGATAGAGTAAAGCCATAGGCCTAAAAGATGCGTATCCAATTTTTATTTGTTAAAAATGCGACTTGGTCTCTCTTTAAAACGTTCCAATTTTCGTAGAAATAAGAGATGGATAAATATGATCCATTTAAAAATGAAACAAAAAGACAGGTGCTTTTTACACACACATAGAACAAATTAACATTCAAGAAAAGTTCGTATTTTGTAAAAGCATGTGTGGTCATTTAGTGATTTTCATTTTCATGGCTGTTGTTTGGTATCTAAATAAATTATTTCCGCAATTTTTTATTATGATTTCTTAATTAATAGAAAAGTTGTTCCTTTTTTTTTCGTAAAAGATATGAAGAGAAATAATAAACAAGAACATTAAATGGCTTAGGAAATCTAGTGATACACAATAAAAAAGAAATTAGTCATGAAACATATGTAATAATTTCGAAAAAACCTACAAGTTAATTAATCAATAATCACAGACCAAACAAATTGAAAATGACATTTTGTAAAAAAAGGAGAACAACCCATGATTGTATTTATTTTCTGTGTTTTTTTTTTCAAGGATTTTGCTTAAACAAATGCACGCTCCGTTTGATGATAATCAAGGAACGAGCAAAAAATCCATCGAAATGATATTCAAATATTGTATATTTTATGTACAATAGCCCGAGCTGATTTTCATTGCTCTGGCTTTAACTAAATCTTAATGTAAATAATATATAACCATTCACAGTACAAAATAAAACGTGTCATTAAAAATGAAGACGAACCTGATCAATTGTTTTGAACTTTGAAGATGAGACTCTTAAAATGAAATTAAAATATTCATCACATACGTTATTCATACAAAAAAAAAAAAAAGAAAAAAACAAAAATAGCGCAGAATGAACGAAACAATCTAACATATCACGGATATTAGTTTTTTTTGTATTGTGTGCTTGTTTCATTAATTCAAATATTAAACGAAAGATTTAACGACAAAAAAATAAAGAAAACTATTTTTGAATTTTGGAAATAAAGAAATCTTTGAATATAACATAATTGAAAAAAAAATCATTTGATTTCAATAAATTTATTTTTTTTCTGTTAAACAAAACGAACAAAATGATTAACGTATACAAAAGAAAAAAACAAAAGATAGATCGTGTTTGCAGGACAACAAAAACATATATGCAAACCATTCGTTGGATTTTGAGTCCATATATTGTGTGTGTGTCTTCCTTTTTGGTGGTGAAAAACAAATTTTTGGAAAAACATTCGTTTGTTTTGTTTGCTTTTTGACATAAAATTTAAGATACTTTCTTTTCGTCTTGATGCGACAAACTTTACCTTAATTATGTTTTCTTTTCTTTGTTTTCTTGAACTTAAATAGATAGGATTTTAATTGTTCTGCTTTTTCCTCCTTTCAACCAATTTCACAGTTTAGTTCCTGACTTGTTTTCTTTGTATTTTAGCTGGTTTCAGTTATACATTTATAAATCTTTAGTTTAAAACTCGGTTAAATTCTCCATTTATGGTCTTAATAGTTAATAGAAAGAAAGTTATTTTAGTGGGGGCATTTAACATTTAGGTGCGAATCTTCGATTCGTTTTAACATCATTTAAATATATTTTTTGTAATTTTTCAGTTTTAAAAATTATCGACAAAGTCCTTACTATTTTATATATCGCATGAAAATGGTTTGGTTATCGATTTGACGAAAACGAAAAATCTATATATATATTGAAATTGATTTTTTGTTTGTTTGAATATCAATAATTCGGATCATTGTGTGTTTTTCTGTTTTTCTTTGAAAATCAAAACTTATAGTCTACGGTTTTGTTGCCATTTTTTCTTCTGTTTCTCGTTTTAATTGGTACAAAAATAAACTCTATCACTAGATATTACTTTTTTTTCTTGTGTATTTACAATCATAATGACATTTCTTTTGAAAGGTGAAAAAAATGATAAACAAAAAGATTCTTTCAAAATGCTACAGTTGATATTTTGTGTGTGTGTGTGTGTCTGTGTTTCGATTCGAGATCGAGTAAACGCATTCGAAGGATATCTTTTTCCCGTTAGTGGTTTTCCATAATACATTAAATCTCTAATTCTAAAGAAAATCTTATCTCAAGAGTTCTTAAAACTGTTTCAAGTATTTCATTTTGTTAAATTATAATTTGCATATGTTGATTACAGTTATTTATCAAAAGTGCGACACATTGGTCGTATATAAGCATACTTTGAATTCTTTATGTATTCTTTTGCATGTATTTCTGTTATGGACACTTGATTTCACGTGCCACAGTGTAATGGTTTGAATGTTTGTTTATCGCTGTCATTTGATGATGATAATAGAAAAAAAATAATAGAAATAGCTGTCTTGTGTCACATTTTTCTTGCTTCAATTCATGCATTTCATTTCATTCGTTTTGTTGTGCTAGTGTTAGATTTTCACCCAAATCAAGTTAGTTCTCGAACAAAAAAAAAATGAAAACAAATCCAACATTAGAAAGAGAAGGAAAATAAATGAACCTAGTCAATCATATCAAAGGAGATAATATGAAACGCGCACACGATAGCAAAATACTGTGAATATAACGGAATTTTCGATGAATATGCACAATTCGATATGCGCTGCGTAATTTCATGCCACTCAAGCATCGAATTTCTGGGCCTGCTACAATTCTTTTTTCAGTTTACATTTTTGTGGTGGACGCATTTGATTAAATTCAATTGTTGGGTGTCAAAACAAATGCCGCTCTGGGAAAACTGTAACAAGACGCTCATGTCATGCGATTTGATCATATTTTTTTTTTATTTGTACGTTGTTGCTGCATCAAAGGTTTTTTTTCTTGCTGGTGACACGACGTCAAAAAAAAGCAAAAAACTCATATCAAATTAGAATGCATTGAACCCGTCGAGTGCTGTTGCTCATGTGAGCTGCGCAAAATGCGAAGTTTTTTTTCGTGTTGCACTTTGTTGTTTGCCCGGTTTCGTTTCTTAGTTGTCCTTTTGCGCTGTGCGTGTTATCATTTGCTGATAGTTTTGAGCAGGCTGTAATTTAATTATTGCTATCGAACGTGTGTGTGTTTGTGTGACTGATAGTTTCATTTTGCTCGCAAGCAAACAGAAAATATTCTAAATTGTATTTCATTATCATTTCCATTGAAATGGATATTCTGTCCAGTGGCGATTTAAGGTGAAAACATAACGAAAAGAAAAATCTAGATTGCGAATGAAGTGACGTTGATGTATGTAACGTGAATTCGGCTTTATTTTTTTTTCCTTTTTAAAGGATTAAAATGTTGACACATGTTGAACAACTATTTCACTATACGTTGTTAGCTTTTACTTGGAAAACGAATATATCTTTTTTTTACAAAATAGAAAAACAGTGAAAAAATAAATCTTTCAAATTACTAGATTTGAAATCACAATACACTGAGAATTTCATTCTTTTTTTTATCAATTAGTTTTTTTCAAGAGTTTGATGTTTTTTTTTTGTATTTTACAGCGTTATTTTATTTGCTTTCAAAGCAATATTTGCCATTAGATATTCGATGTTGGTCGCGTTTCGGTTGATTCCAATTTTGACGATGAATATTTTAAATGAAATTGTTAACACTTCTCTCGGGAAAACTCGGTCGATGAAAAACTGCAGCAACTTGCACTGCGATTGATGCTCTGAACAGACGGTCAAACAAATTAAACAAATCCATTTAAATCTCACTGAGTCCACCGTTCGGTATTCCGCACTTCACTTTTTCTAGCACTTTATTAACGAATTCCGTGGATGTTCCAGCAATCTGGAATTCTATAAAATTCATCGAAGTAGATAGAGGAAGAGAATAAAAAAAAGAGTCGATGAGAAAAAGAAAATTAAAGTGAGACATTTTATGAATTCAACACCGTTGAAACAGGAAAGGGAAAAAAACCACACAAACATTGTTTTTAAATTGATTATAACGACAAACAATTGAAAATTCAAATTGTGGCAATGCTTGCTTTATTTTTATTTGCTTTGGATATATTAAGACTTTGATCAGTTTGCGCGTTGTATATTCGTACGTAGTATGTATATATTTCCAATTTTGTTTAAACACTCCTTTTCCGTTTTTGTTGTCATTTTTAATTCAATTGCTATTCATTTATGCTGATCAAAGCAAAGTTAAAACAAATAAAATTGATTTTCAATCAAAGAAAACAACGCTCGCGTCAACGAAAAAAAGGGGGTGCGAAACGCAAATGCAAATGATTGTGACTTCAGAAGAAGAAGAAGAAAAATGTGTTATGTATTATACTTACTTGTGGCGGCAGCGACACAACTATCAATTTGTGTGTTAACCTCCTCAGTGTTCTCAGCGAGATGGCTGTATTTATAAGCCAGGGCTTTTTTAACATCCTCGATGCCAGAGATTAAGCGTTCTGTATAAATAAAGAAGGCCAAACAATTTGGATGAGCAAAAAAATGCAATTAATATTATAGAAATGAAATGAAATCGAATAAAACCAATTAAAATGTTCAAATGGTCAATTAATTAATTGGCATTCACTTACTGTGCTCAGTTTCAAGTCCATACAATTTAATTTTATTGGCTTCGTGCTGTGCCTTCTTCTTGAGACGGCATGCTCGCGATGCCAATTTATTCTTTTCTTTGCGTAATTTAGGCCGTTCCTTGAATGGCGATTCATTAACCGATGTCATTTGATTGATTGTTCGTCCCAATTTATCCAATTCCCTGCCAATACATTGTAATTTACGTGGATTTGGTGTTAGATCGTTGCCATCGCCCTTACGAGCTTTACCGCTGTGCTGTAATTTCGTTTATAAAACCGCATCGGTTACCATACGTTTTTGGTTGGACTTATAAACAAGTAAGAAGTAAAGAAAAAAAAATGTACCTTAATTCCTCGCACAGAACAACTTGGACTAAAAACTGGATCGGTGACTTCGTTCAAAACATGTGGATCTTCAACTTGAGTTTTAATCACTAAGCGTTGTCCCTTTGGTCCTTTGGCTTGTACATTGTATTGCCAGAAATATCGTTCCTTTTTGCTTCCTTTTGGATTTGCATTATCTTCGTTGCCGGAGTCTAAAGTAAATTGAGAAATATTATTATTTTCACAAAATTCAATTTCGTTTAAAAAAATGTGTTTACCATCATCAGTAGAGTAATCTTCATAGTGATCGCTGTCACTGTCCTCGTACCCCTCATCGTGTGAGAAATCATTTGCTTCGGGGCTAACAATTCCGCCGGTGCTCAATGATGACGTTGAGCCGGCTTCAGCTAGGCTACCCGTCGATAGTAAATGTTGACGTGGTTCTCTGCGTTGCCACATTTGTTGTGGCCATCCGGAAGAGTTGGCCGGTGCTGACGATGACAAACACGAATTTCCACCGGAGTGTTGATGAGCAAATTGCAAACGACGTTGATGATAGTTTTCATGTCGATTTCGTACCGCACCAGTTATCGTTGATGGGCCGGGCACCGATTGGCCGAGCTTTGAATTGGTACGATCGGGTGATTCTTGTTTAAGTAGATCTTGTAACGTGGTGTACTGTAATTTATTGTTGTTTGTATTATTCTTGTTATGTGTAATCGTGTTGTTATTTAAAATGTATGGTGGCGGAGATATTGAATTATTTAGCAATGGCGAACTGGAACTGCCATGACTTTCCGGTGAAAATGCAGCATTTGAATTAAGTGTTTTTGGTGTATTGGCCTGATAAATATCATATGGACTGGTCGATGAGATGTTTGTTTGTTCGTCATACAATAAAGCATCACGACCAATAGCAATGCCTTGTCCAAACAATTGATTTGTGTCATTTTGTTGATGTTGTTGTTGTTGTGGTTGGTGTTCGATTTGCATTTGATTCGTTGCTAGATTGTTATGTATTTGGTTTGTCTGTAGCAATTGTTGTGGCGGTGCGGTGGAATCATTGAATGAATTCGCTTGCAAATTCATTGTCGTTGCATTATTCAAAAGTGTTAGTCCCGTATTTTCCGATGGCAAAATTAGGTCTTCAATGTTCAAATCTTCCAGTGTTGTATCGCCATTCAATTCAGCCAATGTTGGCGATTGAAATAGATCCGATTTATCTACCTGAAATATATCATCTTCGTCCATTTGAAATGGCTCTTGTTTTGTAATCAATGTTTCATTGATAATGCTCCACATTGCGTTCGAATTTGAATTCGAGTTTGAATTTTGTAATCCAAACAATGTGCTTGAAGATGGTATATAGATGCCATCTTGTGTCATTTGTGGTGATTGTGATTGATCAAAATCAAAGTTAAAATCATTAAAATCGTTCAACATTTTGCCGGTACATGGAATTGGTACCGATTGTGTCAACATTGGATTATCACGAGTTGATTCCATTATGTGATAAATCGGTTGTTGATTATTGTTTACGTTGCTATTGTGCACCTCCGATTTGATCGCAATATGCGAATAGCTTGGCAACGAATTTGAGTATATCGGCTCTGAGATGTTTGTTTGATAATGCGAATGCGGCACTTGATTCTGATTTTGATTCTGGTTTTGATGATAGATTTGTTGATAATGTTGTTGTTGTTGTTGTTGTTGTTGGTGGTGATGGTGTAGGTGGTGTTGTTGTTGTTGTTGTTGATGATGATGATCAATATTATTATGAGAATAGTAGCGCTTCTGTTGATTCATTCTGTTGTAAAGTAAAAATAAGCAAAAATATATATAAAAAACGACGAATCAGCAAAATGTGGTGTGCAATTAACAGGAAATGTAAATAAAATTCTTTAGAAATAAACAGATGCTAGTCATAAGATGCTATGGTAAGTACTTAAATTGAAAAAGATATAAAGAAAAGTAGAGTGTTTAAAACAGCTACACACGTGTAAAATAACTAATTCTTCTATTCAATTTACTTTAAAATCTAAATTCAACGTCTTATTATTGTGTATAAATTCATGGTTTTCCTTTCATTTCCACATTCATTGCAAGAGAGAAAAAAAAAACTCAAAAAGATACCATTTCTTTTGATTGAGGAATTGAATTTTTGGCAAAAAAATCGTCTATTTTTATATGAAAAAAATTAAAATCACGTGAAAACCATCACAAGATGCAACTTATCTTTTGATTCATTTAAACGAAAGCACATATTCCATAAAATAAATTATTTGTGTCCATTAACAAAATGAATTTTCTCTCTATTTATAGAAGTTATGACACAAAACTGAAGAAAAACACAGCAAAATTAATGTACGAGAAAAAGAAAGAAAAACAACAAACAAAATGAAAATGCATGCATCCGTAGGGGCAAAGATTAACACATATTCTGTGTAAATATTACAAAAATATCACAAATATTTATTACAAATTTGCAAATATTTGCTTGTGAATGAAGTGAAACGTAGTTGATTTTCAGAAAGCCATAATTTTTTTTATGTCCAATGAATATTCCACAAATCAGGTAAATATGATAAATATCGAACAAATAATCGCGATAATAAATACCATTCGCAAACATTATTTACGGCATTTATTTTTAAACTTCTTTGTATTTATTTTTGTAAATATGAATGAATATCTAAAGTCCCTTTTGAATGTCTCTGTTTTGCGACAGCGTTCGGAGGTTCAACGTCGAACAGAGCAGTATTCGAAAAGAATCATCTGCTATTAATTTACTTTGGAAGCGTTTAAGAGAATGCTTTCACTCCAAATTGTTGTTGTTTTACATGTTTGTATATTCGTTGACATTCAACAGGACCGATCCGTTGAATCGCCGCAATAAAAAAATGTGCGAATTTTTTATGCGGAAAAACAAACTGAAATGAAGATGTGCCAAAAGTGCGAGAAAAACGTGCAAAACCGAATAGAAAAATAAATAAATGTCCAACAAAAAGAATGACTAACGTCATACTCAGCTCAAACGAGCAGTACGTGTCAAATTTTAAAGAAATCGAAAAAAAAGTAGTATCGTATTATAAAGTACATTCATTTAAAAGAAATTTATTACTCGAAATATGACCATATAGCTATAAAACTATGACAATTTAAACACGACAAGAACATCACATAACCAATTTAATTTTCATTGTGATTTATAAATGAAATGGAAGGTAATTTGTGTTGTGAAACAATAAAAATAAATCGCATAAATTGGAGTCAAAAGAGGGAGAGAGAGCGAGGTGGACAGAGAAGAAAAATAAAGGCCAAGAGAAAGTGAGCGTGTGTGTTGGTGTGGGGCATCGAAACGGAAAATAACTGTCAACCATTGCATGTAAAATAAAATAATTCGTGCAAGGTCCACGTTGTGATGTAAAAAAAGACGAATAAGAACAGTGGAAAAAATGCGATAAGCGTCATTTTAACAACACCAAAGAATGCGTGCACGAGTGTGAATAATAGATAATATTAATGAAACACATTTTTTCGTCTTCCAAAAGCCATCGAATAAAGTTCTATATGATGTGACAACAAGTCCAACAATCCATCACTTATTTCATGCTCAATGAAATCTGTGTTGAGTTCAATATCATGAAGTTGTTCGTTCAAATGGATCATAAATATATCGAACAAAATTGCCCAAACAATAGTTCATTGCGTTCGATTCAATTAAGTTTGGTATATATTTTGGGGCTCATTTCGTATGTTCCGTATAAATACAATATTTATAAGCGCGCTGCTTGCATACAACCAAAGTACAAATGTACATGTAATGGTACATCAAAGTGTATAAAAAGCGAAAACATTGATCATATGTTTATCGTTGAACGAAGAAATAAAAAAAGCACTTACATCCATTATATATGTTGTCTATATACAATGGGAGAATCAAACATATGGCAGCGTATTCATCATTGTTGTACATTGTCATTAGTGTCGAGTCGACCGAGCGCGAGGTACTCTTTATTATTCGATTGGCATTCACGCAACGCGAGCAACGGGCAGAACCCAGAGATATAGACACAAATACCCAGCTGTACATGATGATCATCAACTTCGATATTATACATATATTACAGTTTGTATACGCTTTGTGTGAAATAGCAATTGATTCAAGTGAATATGTGAATTTATTCGGTTGGTTATACTTAAATTTGACCTTGAAACTTCTCACAACAGCATTACACATAGAGATGAAAATACATTGCCTTTGCCAAGACAAAGAGACTCACAATAATCTCACATTCATTAACACATCAGATATACAATATACATGTATGCGAATGATATCCATCTTGAAACAAAACGAACAATAAAAAAATATTGAGTTTGTAAATTAAAAAAGAATATGAACATACACGCTGAACGTTTATCATGGCGCGAACTAGACAGCATGCTTCTGCTCAAGTCATGAGCCAATGTAATCGAAAGCGATGGTAGCACAGCGTTTCTGTATTACATTCGATCATAATTATATGTATTCATTACTTAATAACACAATAGGCATTCAGATATATTGCTTTTTCCGCCTTTTTTCTTCATCCGCGCACCAACGCATTGTAATCATATCGAAAATATCGATAATTTAACCAAATCACTTTCACATTGAATAAATCTTTGTGATGATCGGTTTGTTACACATTGTTTCTATGCATCAAAATAAATTTAATTGCTCTTCACCTCGAATTATGATACAAAATATATAGCGTGTCATATAAATCTGTTGAAAAATTGAAGTTTATCCATGTCAATCACAATCAAGCAATATATCAACGCCATGTTGTGTGAAGAGAAAAGATAGAGGAATTTGTTTGGAAAAAATTCATGAGAACTGTGCAGTAGAAGAAGAAGTGAAACAAACACACTCGACGCCTGTGTACATATATCTATAGCATACTCTTTGGTTTATTTAAAAAAAATCACCTACACAGGGTGACCCGAAGAGGGCAACTGGTTTTTCTCTATAATCCAACAACATATGATTTATGACAAATTTACATACAATATCTTCGATTCTACTGAGCGATTCCTGCATTTGCACAACCAAATGATTCATTCAATCTAAATGTCACTGTTTTGTAAATACTTCTTATCGTTTATTTATCCTTTATCGAAATATTGTAATTGTCGTATATAGTTTTGGATTGATTATTTTATCAACGACCGATAATGTCATTTTTGTTGAATCGGAATGTAAACAACTCAAAAACTTCACATGACATTTACGAAACGATGAAGAAAACATCAATAAATATATGAATTAATAAGATACAAATTGTCCGTTGTTAAGAATTAAAATGTTTTGCCTTTAATATGTTTAGTATTGATCGCAAACAAAACGACGACAAACTATGCATAGAATTGAATATGATATGATTTGTATACTCTTCACGCTTAGTCATGAGGATACCAGGCTTTGTAATTTAATACTGCCATTGCGAAATAACACAGCTCATCATATTTTTTTGAAGGAATTTTCCGTTAGTGTTATGTTCTTAATAGATATAGATTAGTTTATAAGTCCATCAAAATGATCGCCCAAAGAAAATAAAACTCTCTCTTTTTTTTCGGTAATGTTTTGGAAACTTTCCGAAATATAAAACCATTGGTGAAATAAAGCAGTGTTCGATGCGCATGAAAAATTCGTTCAAAATATTCTGCGAATGGTGAACAACCCGCACAAGGTCAAAATTAATTAGAATAATTCAATGTCAAAACGTTTCTCTTTTCATTCTTGCTTGCTGATATTCTTTCTGTTTTATTTTTTAATGTATTCTTCTTGTGTGGAATTTCTTTTTTTTTCGGAATGAATAGCATCGAATTACATGTAAACCATCCTGATGGTTTCGTTCAATATGTCTTGGTGCTCGTCAACATGTTTCGCTCCATATTTCGTCGGTTTAGCGATAAAAATATGACAAAAATAGGGAAAAAAAAACTTCGTCCGAGAGTGAATTCAGCCAAGTGTTAAAATGAAGTACACAAAAATAAGCCTTATACTCTTGTAGAGTATTTCTAGTGATTTTTGATTGAAAATAGCAGCTCTTTGTGAGAAAAAAAATCAGTTTCGGTTTCTCTTTCATTATATTGGCTTGATGATTCTTAAAATAAAACTAGAACCGAACGTATTCATCGCAATTATTCATTATATATTTCTCTCAATTCGATACGGGCGATGATAGAAAATAGCCGAGCAAAATATACAATAGCGAACACATTTGCTATTTTATACCGCGGTTTTTTTTCTGTTATTAGATTGGTCTTTGTTTGCGAAAAATTAATTTAATTTAAAAAAAAATCGACTATTTTGGAGTTTGTACAACATCGAAACATTTGATCCATGTGAATCACGCTCGATTTTAAATATCGATTTGCTTCTGTACACGTTGATTGAAACGTGTTTTGCATTTGAACTAAACAAAAAAAGCAACAATACCTTCTGGCTATAGAGGAAAATAAAAACTACACATTTCGCATTCATGTGATTATTGAGTGGCATTATTTATCGATTGGCTGTTCTGTACATATACTCAATATTTGCATTGCCAAAATGTTCAAGTTTTTAAAAATGAAAACAAAGGTGATGCACGCTTTGTGCAAAAATTGAAACGTGAAAATGTCGATTTGAATAACAATAATAATAATTGGTGTGACTAATGAAAATCGAAATGAAATGCCAAAATAACAAACAACAGTAGAAATGGCAGCACCAACAGCGGCGGTGGAGTGACACATAATACTAAAATTGTGAAAGAG